AGGAAAAATACATCAAATTATTAACTAATTTAATTTTCTTGATAATTTTTTGGAATGAATAGCCAATAGATACCTAATTATTTAAATATAATATCACATCTAGAGTTATTAAACTACAGTAAATGTATTTAAGGTTACAAACATATCCATGAAATATTTTTATATTTCACTTCTTCTTTCACACAAGTACATTGAAATAGTATTTTAAACAATGACATCGGCTTGACTCGGTAGATTTTAAATACTTTTTTTTTCATATTTAGAATAAAAATTTAAAGTTTACATTTAGTAAGAAAATGTAATTTCCTTGAAAACATGTGATTTACGTTAAATAATGTTAGTTTTCAGAAATTATTATTTATAGTTTTTTCATCTCTCTCCGTTACCTTCTACAACTTTATTTATTTGATATTATTTTTTCTAAAATTCTCCGCTTTCCAACGACATATCATACGCATACCTTCTGACTGTTATTTCCGGAGATTCATTTTCGACCTGAATAAGCATTATTCTTTTTTTTCTGCAGTTTCCAATTAGTTTTAGTTTTCATAAATTATAATTTATATATTTTTCTTCACTTTTCGGAAGCATGTGATTTACGTTAAATAATGTTAGTTTTCTGAAATTATTATTTATAATTTTTTCGTCACTGTACGTTACCTTCTACAACCTTATTTATTAGATATTATTTTTTTCTGAAATTCTCTGCTTTTAACAATATATTATAATTATAAATTCTGACTATTATTTTCGAAGATTTATTTTCTACCTGGATGAGCATTTTTTTTTATCTTCAAATTCTTTTAAAAGTTAGCCTTTTTTCATAACTCCTAACATTGAGAGATAGTTAATTATTTAAAATTAACCAAATTAAATGTACTTTAATGGAAGTCATTTTTAACACCGGACATTTAAGCCCTGTTAAGCGACATCAATAGGGATAACACCCAAATGATATTAACGATTTCTTAATTATACATAGATACACCGAGTTTAATCAAAATCGTTACTAGCTGTTTTCGATAAACTCTTAAGAATATGAAACATCCCAAGCATATACTTAAATATGTATTTTCCGTTTCATACGACTTTTCGTTTTTGAGTTAGGTTGTTTTACACACACACACAAACTAACAATTTTGTAAGACTTTTTTATTTCGACTCAGGGTACCTCAAAATATGTTTTTCCATTAAAAACTCAATTCGAAAATTTTCACGATCCCAATACTTTCCCTCACTATATATTATATATTATATATAAAGGTAAGTAAGTGAGAGTAAAAATAAAAATCCTTAAAATGCCCTCGGGCAGTGGAAGGAATTTATTACATGTTTATATTGTATTATTGTATACTATATATGTAATTGTTTCAATAAACTTTTTGGAGGGTAAGAAAAAAAAAAAAAAAAAAAAAAAAAAAAAAAAAAAAAAAAAAAAAAAAAAAAAAAAAGTAAAAATAAAGTATGTTATGTAGTATGATTCAATTAATTAACAAGTGAATAAGTGAAAGCTAAAATCGATGTATTCCTATCGATGTATCGATCTTTTCCAAACATTGACCCTCAAACCCCGCCTTCTTGATAAAAAAGTATTGCATTAATTCCGGCGGACCACTAACCTACTGACATTTACCTTAATGGATAGCATTTCTTTCGTGTCGAAAATTTTCTTAATTATGTATGTTCAATTTGGGAATTATTTCAATTTAGCAAACTAAAAATTATTATTATTTCTTAAAAGATGGCGCAATGCCATGAGCCTACCCACAGCCTGAGTTGAGTGGAGCCGACACAATGTCAGGTTAGAAAGTTGATCTTACATTAGCCCATGAGTCAGCTTGCGTAGTCTAGGCAAGTTTACAGATTTCAGTGTGAGATGCGATTCGTTATCTTTAGTTTATTAAATTTGTTATCAATCAGCTGATTTGAAAGGTTGTGTTCCCATCTCGTATACTAGTCCGTGGTACAGACTTCTTTTTATCGAACTATTAACATCCGCCTGAAACTTCGTAAATAATTTCATGTCATCTTAACCTAAAACTATTTTATTTACAAAAACACTGGGAATTGAGGCGTTTTCAATTCGGAGGGGGGCAAACTTTGTCTATTTAATAAGGCAAGAAAAAAAATACACATTTGCTTTCTACTTGGATAATTTGATCCCAAAATAGATTAAAAAAAGTGGCCTTCAAAAATATTGGGCCGTTTGTCCTATATGACCACGTTATTTTGAAATTTTGGGCGTGTAGTTTACGCCAAACGGCTCAATATTTTTGAAGGTCATCTTTTTTCTCGGTTTTGTTATCAATTTATCTTACAATTCAACTATAAAGTAAATATGTATTTACGAGTTTTTAGTACCTAATTAAATAGACAAAGTTTGTCCTCCCTCCAGATTGAAAACCCTCCAATTTCAAGAGTTTTCGTAAATAAAATATTTATAGGTTGTGATGAGAGGAAACTATTTATGAAGTTAATAATTCGATAAAAGGTGGTCTGTATCACGGACTATACAAAAATTTATCTATTTTCAGAAAAACCTCTGTGATTATTCAATTAATACTGTTCAAGTGTACATCAGGACAATTGATATTTCCAGTCTGCACAGTTAATTTTTTTAAGTTATATCTTCTTTAAACGCGTTTTGCACTTCTTTGTGAAGAGTGAATTAGATTGATCCGTTCGGCATTAATGCTCGGGTAAAGTCGGCTAAAGTCGACTAATTAAAATATTTTTACTTATGGGTTAAATATCTCAGAAACTATAAATCGAGCCTGCATACTGTAAGCGAAGAAATTGTTCAGCATTTCATCCTTTCTGTAATAGGCTATAATTCAAATTTGTATCTTAAAGCTACACCATGTTGGGGAGGCGAACAGGCGAAAAATATTTTTGAAAACCAAATGAAAAGTTATTACAATTAATAATTTCGAGGAGATACACATTTTAATCCTTTTTATACAAAAGCCTTTTGATGTGTACGTATGGCTTTTGAGGCTTTATTTAAGGGTTAAATAAAGTTATTTCTCGAAATTATTAATTTTAATAATTATAAATGCCCTTGAAAATTTGGAAGATATCATAAAAAACCAAATGATAAGGTTAGTTGAACTTATGGATTAAAATATTTCAGATATTTAAAACCGGATCTGTATACTGTAAGTGAGGGAAATGTTCAGCATTTCATCTTCTTTGCAATGAGCTATTATTTATAATTTATATTTCATATTATTAACCTCGCCTTCTTGATGTTTTCACTTATATTGTGTGGTATAAAGCACACACCTTAGTTTTTTCTTCTATTATGAGATGCGGTTTTATCACCAAGCGATGTCCAATAAAGCGCTTACTGAGATGTCTTGGTCAGACGGCTGCACCCCGCGTGGTTCACCAGTTAAACAAAGAACTCGTCGGAACCTCCGTGAAAGTTCTTCAGGGACCACACCAAGTTCTTTAGAATCTGAACCTCAGCCTCAACCAGATAAATCTACACAAGAAGTGGTCGAAAAATCCCCCTTCTTTACTCCAAATCCGTACTAAGTGCTTCAAAATGACAGAGGAGTAATGGAATCTACTGCAGTGCCCAGGGAAACAAGACCTCCTCCGATATTTGTAAAAAAAAATATTTAAAAAATTTAGTTATTGTGTACCCAACTTAATAAAATCTGCTCCGACAGTTATTCAGGTATCAACAGGAACCAATGACACTGTTACCACAATCCTCTTCTGACGTCATGACGCCTTCAGTAATCAGTGCTGCAGCCAGTTTTACTTTTTCCAACATCTTTGGAAATCAATCGTCTAGGATCGATACAAAATATCGATTGAGTCGTTAAAGAAAAACAGGTGGAAAATTAGGAGACGCTTTTGTGAGTGTGTGATAGAAAGAATCACTGTGTTTGTCGCTAACGTGAAGATTGTATAATTTTATCTAGCGGCATAACAATTGTCTGGGCCCATCGCGGTATTATATTATCTGTTCTGGAGTTGCAACTCTTTTAAGTATCTGTTAATAATTGTATTCTTTTTTTTTTTTATGAAACTTTATCTTTGTTCCTCTCTTCATTCTGTAATTAATGTTATTTTCTTTTGTATTTGTGTTTTCTAACTTTGTTACTCATAGCTTTGTATTGTTTTCTTTCCAAAATTAAATTGTATTAATCAATTGTTTATGGTTATTGAGTGAATCTATCAGAATCCCTTAAAATACAAAATACTGCTGAAATCTTCGTAAAATAGTGAAACATTTCTTAGAAACAAAGGAGAATTTTTACACGTAACAGTTGAGGTAGGAGATTTATACGATTAGTGATATGAAAGTAATTACCGCTCTCTCTTCTCTCTCTCTCTCTCTCTCTCTCTATATATATATATATATATATATATATATATATATATATATAAACTTTCGGGCTTAAGCCCCCTCAAAATTAAATCCTGGATCGGCTAGTGGTTCTTGAAGAATATTAGTTAAGAATGGACCAGAGCTGGCAAAAGGGGCTCATTTGAAGCGGGAATCTCTCCCGCGCTCGAGTATTCTAGCAACTCCTAGTATTTAGTTAGTTTTATGTAGGTCGAATAAATCGCCGAAGATCACAAAATCGTCACGTGATGCCCAGGTAGGACTTGTCCTACGTGTTTTTGCTAGAAACACACGTTCCTGCAAAACATCATTGTAGTTCTTTCTTTCTGAAAGCTGGCGGATTTAATTCTTTATGTTTTTGAAAATTCGTTAGGGATGTTGAAAACTATACTACTAAAAAATGAATTAAAGACATTTTTTTCACGTATATATTTTGAAATTAGAGACGTTTTCTGACTTAACAGAACCGAATTAAAGTCGGTCCAAGACTCCCACTGAAGTCCTATACTGCAACATCTTGATGTTCACAGTTCAAAGTCTTCTAATCTTTTGATTATAATCGTTTTTTTTTTTATGCTGTATTGCTAGACACCTTTATTTCACCTAATTACTTATGAGCTTAAAAAACATTTCTTACCTTTGGTTATATCTTGATACTCGTCAAAGGGCTTGACTCCATCCTCTTTGTCGAAGGCACCGAAGGCATATATGAGGTGGGTGCAGAGGAAAGGGTTGATCTGGGTGGGCTTGAAGACGAACTGGTTGGTCCGGTAGACACTCCAGTTAGTGTAATAGCATACCACCTTCTTGTCTTCTATGTTTTCTGAAAAGAAATTTGAAAAATGTGGTAAGTAGTTCAAATTAAACACAATGTGGAGCACGGGCGGATCTACGGGATATCAATATGTTTTATGGAAATAAATATTTTTTATTGATTTTAATGAAATTTACAACTATATTACATCAAAAATACAAGTAAATGTGAGATTGGTAACATGACATGTACAACATGAAGAGAAACTACCCATTGGTAGAACTCAAATTAAAGTTCTATATTATAAAGTCCCGAGGCCATCTTCTTTTCAGACGCCTCGGAGGGTTATAAGGGATCGAGGAGGAAGCAAGGTTTGAAACGAGAGGGTTCGGATGGTTCTGCAGTTTGTTATGGAAGGATAGGTATCTGGATTGGGCCAGATCAGAAACATATGGTAAATCAAGGTTGTTATGGATGATTTTATTTGTGACAAAGTAAGGAGCATTCAGGATTTTACGAAGGATTTTGGATTGTAAGGATTTGATACGAGAGGAATTCGATGGTTTAGTGAAGCCCCAAAGCTCAGTTTCGTAAGTCCAAATAGGTCTTATTATTGTCATATATATGAGTCGTTTATAATTGATTGAATGCTTGTCTCGGTGCAGTATTCGAAAACGTCGGGCGGTTTCTAGTCGTTTCAGTCTGGTATGGGAGTTCCAAGTTAGTCGTTTGTCAAGGTGGAGTCCTAGGTAGCGGATTTGTTCAACACGGATAAGAGGGCTATTGTTGAAGGATACTGTAGGACAGGAAGTCATAGGTTTACGACGAAGAGTGAAGGTAATTTGATGGTATTTATTGGAATTTATTTTAATTCTCCAGTTTTGACACCATTTTTCAAGACTTGTGAAGTGTGCTTGAAGAGTTTGGGATGCAATTGATGGATCGTTATTAACTGATAGGATGCACGTGTCATCTGTATAGGTGGTGATGGCAGTGTTAGGATGAGTTGGGATGTCAGCTGTATAAACTGTGTAAAGGATAGGACCTAGGATACTACCTTGAGGAACACCGGCAAGGAAAAAAAAATATTTAAAAAATATTTCTAAAAGTATTATTGTTCGTGTAATTACATAAAAAAGTACTTTAGGAATCACCTAAACACCATTTCATATAGGTAGTTAGTTTCTTTCTTTTTTTCCAAAGTAACTATCGTTATTTTTATGAAAATTAAATATGATTGAAAATGAAAAAAAAAAATTTCAGGCTGAAGCTTCCCCCTCACTCCCAAATTAAATCCTGGATCCGCCAGTGATGTGGAGTGATGTTCGATTGGTTGTTCTTTTCTGTCTCGATGATGTTTGAATTGGTGAAAAGTTTACAGGTTTTTCTTTGCCTACATTTTCGAGAGAAGACTGTATGGTTTTGGAATTTTCCCAATAATAATCTAACATGTATGTTCTGTCTTTTGATTATTTTGTTACTAATTTATAACAATTAATCGCAATATTAATTATTGATTGAAATAAAATATGAGCCACCGCTTTTATATATTTTTTGGTTTATTATTCTCAATAGCCAAGCATTGTTATTGACCAAAAAATTCAAAAACTTAACCTCCTCTCAAAATTTGAGGTTTCACGTTTCAGGATGGGAAGAATTCGAAAAACGAATAAAACTTTTTTGTCCGCATTTTCACCGAAACTGCTGGACCGATTATTTTCAAATTCGGATATAAAACCAGAGGTCACCCGAGGATGATCCTCCTTCATCGACATTACTATTCTACTTTTATTTTCAAAATGGTGGCCGAAAAATCTGCGTTGCTATAGACTGTAGCTCCTAAACGGATGTGCCGATATCAATGAAACTTCGCTAAAGTCATTTTCTCGACACCCTTTAAATTTATCTATATAACATACTTCAACGAGAAGAAGCTGGAAAAAGGTTACGAGGGATGGTAAAATTAAATTCCGAATAACTCAAAAAGTTTACACTTTTTTGTAGATATTTTATATTGTTTTTTAAAAGTTTACGGTATTTCCTAAAAAACAAAAAAATATGGACAAAGATATGGTCTCCAGTTCTTTTAAAAATATTTTTGGTTAATTATTTTCAATAATGAACCATTGTCACCCCAACCAAAAAATTTAACGTCCTCTCAAAATTTGAGGTTTTAGGTTTCAGGATATGTAGAAGTACCGATTTCAATGAAAGTTCCCTAAAGTAATTATCGACACTTTGTTTACAATACTGCTAATGTGTTTGTCGGTCAAAATAAAAATAATATTTATTGGTTTTGTACGATTCTAATTCCTTGAATAGTTTCTCAACGTAACTAGAGGATTTAAAGTTAAATATAAGAAAATAAAAATTCAGGTTTTTGTCCATTGAACGTTACACTGTATGGCGTCTTCATGACGTATCGGAGACTCATTGCGATGGCGTAAATCTCTGCTGTGTAAACACTACAAAAAATTATGTAATTTATATTTTTAGGTAGTATCAGGTGTGACAAATGCTGATGCAGTAGATGTATCTGCTTCGGATCCGTCGATGAATATTAAAAGATGTTCAGATAATGTGATGATTATTTTGTGGAATTTTTCTTAATAATCTGCAGGGAATGTACTATCATTGGTGAATTTGGTGAGTTGGAGATTTAATTTTGGTTGTATATAGATCTTATTGTTTTGAATTTATTTATTATAAAAGACATTCTTTCTGCCACTGATAGTGTAGTATTCCTCTTTTTTTTATTACATTTATCGCATGTTACTGTTGATAAAAAATTAATTTTCTAATTTGGAGAGGCCTCAGCCCGAAAGGTATTGTTCGGGAATTTATTAACCATAAACGTATGATTTTTTTACGTTTGAATACAATGTGAAATGTATTAATTTTAATTCCAGGCAAAACAGCTGTTCTAAAAGGTTTTTAAAAAAACATATGTTAATTATTGTTCGTTAGAAAAATTGTGTGTTTTTATAAAACTCTACTTTGTAAAATTTGATAAAATATAGTTTTGTGTTTGTTTTTTTGAAATTGCACTCAATCATTACTTTATTTACAAGTTTCCATTGTTATTCATCTTTTGTATTACGAGAAAGGTATTCCCCCCCCCCACCTTGAATATGTTAATGGATCAAATAGTACTAAACATTATTTACTGAAAACTGTTTTGCTGTTGTAAACATATGGATTACTATTTTTAAAACTATACTAAATATATATATATATATATATATATATATATATATATATATATATATATATATATATATATATATATATATCAAAATTTCATACTTACGTGTTTCGCAAACGGCGAGAAGTACTGCCACTACTAGCAAGTGATAGATGCCATCTATTGTGTACATGGTAACTCAACTTTCAGCTTAGCCGCATCAAACTGTGTCACTTCCTCAGAAGTCTCTTAAATATGGCGACATAAAAAACCAAAAGGCATTCTTGATCCTTGCAACCTTTCGGAATAATCAACCTGCCATCCTTGAGCTCCTACTCATTTATTAATCCGCCAATAAAATAGTTATAGTTGTAACTAGATTGCAAGAAATAAATAGAGAAGGTCAAATAATGTTTAGTTCTTATCAAATAATGTTAAATAATAACTTAATATAATTTAAAGAAGAATCTATAATAATGTTGAGGAGGACAATATTCGATACTGTTAGCGGATCTACGAACATCAAAATCAGATAATTCTTACGTGTTACCCAAATCGCTTTGATATAAAGGTAAAGTTGATTAACATTATCTTCTTTTGACGATCTATTTCGAACAGAATCCTAGACCAAATTTATAATTTTAGTCACGGGCGGATCTACGGAGGGGGGCTTTCGGGCCAAGGCTCTCCCTCTCTCCCCCCCCCCAAAAAAAAAGCAATATGGTAAAATATAACCATGTCTTATGAAACAAATATTTAACAATTACCTCTAAAAGTGTTATTAAAGAAGGAGATGGTCCGGGGTGGCGGTCACAAATAGGCTAAATAGTGGTAAAACTATTTTTATTAAAAGCCGACGTTTCGACCCGAATTTGCAGGTCTTCTTCAGGGCTAGAACGGACAAGATACAAAAAGATAAAGACTTGTGGAAGTTACATAATATTTAGACAAAAAATTATAAACAATGTGAATAAGCTTATTAAAATTTTAAACAGTAAGTACATTAAAATATAAACAGAGTTAGCTAAGTAACAAGATCTTAATCCGAAGTAAATAGAAGCTAACAATTATTGTAGTGTAATATATAATAAATGCAAATGTGAATATACTTCTACAGATCTATTATGTAACTTCAAGAATGCTCTATTTGTATCTTGTCCGTTGTAGCCCTGAAGAAGACCTGCAAAGTCGGGTGGAATCGTCGGATTTTAATAAAAATAGTTTTACCACTATTTAGTCTATTTATGACCGCCACCCCGGACCATCTCCTTCCTTAATAACACTTTTAGAGGTAATTATTAAATATTTGGTTGAAGACATGATTATATTTTACCATATTTTTTGGGGGGGAAGAGGGAGGGGCTTGGCCCAAAAGCCCCCCTCCGTAGATCCGCCCGTGACTCCCCGGACCATCTCCTTCCTTTATAATGCAACGGTCAACTATTAAATATTCTATAAAAGTATTATTGTTTGTGTAATTATATTGAATAGTACTTAAAGAATCACTTAAACTCTTTTCCATATAGGTAGTTAGCTTCTTTCTTTTTCTTCCTAAGTAATTATCTTTATACACGGTGTTTCAAGATTAAGTGGCCAAACTTAAAATAGAATGAAGGACCTTAAAATAAGAAAAAAAAATCCCATGATGGTATGTCCGCTAATGCTTTTGGTTTAGGAGATATTCACACCTAAAGATTTTCATTGTTATGAATTATTTAAGTTATATTAAGTAAATTAAACCTATTTATTTGTTCCAACTATTTTATTAATTGAGATTAAACATTAAATTCATATTAAATGTTGTTCAAAGTGATTTCCTTGAGCATTAAGACAGGCTCGGCATCTTTCTTCAACAGCAGCAATGGCATAACGGCATTGGATATGTGTTAATGTTTCACAAGATTCAATTATCCTTCTTTGGAAGGAATTAAGGTCATTGACCGGACTTGCATAGACTTTTTGCTTAATTTCATCCCAAACAAAAAAATCCAGTGGTGTGAGAGAGCGTGCAGGCCAAGCCACTGGTCTTGCACGGCCAATCCATTGACTGGGATAATTAACATTTAGCCATTGTCTTGGATCCCTTCCGTAATGTGCTGAACAAACATCTAATTGAAGCCACATGTTCCTTCTAAGTTATAGTGGAATATGTTCAACTAAATTATTGTAATCATTATTAAGAAATGTGCCCGCATTGAGTCGAGACAGCAAGTAATGCGGATATAGACTATTAAAATATTGTCTATTATTCTCAACCAGGCGGATCTACGGGGGAGAGAGGAGGGGGGCTTTCGGGCTAAAGCCCCCCCCAAAAAAAATGGTAAAATATAACCATGTTTTACAGAAGAAAATATGATAAACTATCTCTTAAAGTATTCTTGTTCGTGTAATTACATTTAATAGGACTTAAAGAACCACTTAAATACCATTTCATATAGATAGTTAATTTCTTTCTTTCTTTTTTTTCAAATTAATTATCGTTATACGTACATTAAAAAAAAATCTTTCGGGCTGATGTCCCCCCCCCCAAAATTAAATCCTGGATCCGCTAGTGTTCTCAACCACACATTACACTGAAAATGATGCTCACGAATAGCATGGAAATTTTCCTGCGACCAGAGATGATTATTTTTCCGATTGAAGATACCTCTTCTTGTAAATGTAGCTTCATCTATCCAGACAATATTATTGTTTACATTTAATTAATAAAGTAGTTAGAACAAATAAATAGGTTTATTTATTTCATATAACGTAAATAATTTATAACAACGAAAATCTTTAGGTGTGAATATCTCCTAAACAAAACATTTGAGTACCTACTTTCAGAGGAAATTTCTTGCAGTATAGCCACTTATCCCTGAAACACCTTGCATGTTAAAAAAAAAATCTTTCGGACTGAGCCCCCTCTCCCCTCCCAAAACTAAATACTGGATCCGCTAGTGATGTCATTTACTTATTCGTCGCCGAATTTGACGTTTTTTTTTTAACTCTTCCAGTAGTCACATTTCCGATATTAAGACCCGTTTTGGAATTATAACTCAAGTAATGAAAAAAAAAAAAAAATCCATTTTTGGTTGAGCACCACTTAATATTGCGGCAGTTTCATTCTGGTATTTTTTAAATTCTTCTTCCAAAAATAATTGTTGAAAAAAGGTGAAAATTTCTTTATGATAAGACATGTTTTCTGCATACGTTCCCGTACTATTAAATCAGTAGAAATGTCGGATTCTATTTTAATTACTTTTTTTTTTCAATTTTGATTTATCATTGAAAATACCTGAACAAGACATGCTTCTTTGGATTGGCCATTGGCACTAATAAAATGTTGAGGGGACGAAAATATCGTCCCCTCTCCACTGTAATTTGAGGTAAAAAGATATTAAAATCAAGAATAAATAAGCTACATGAATGAATAAAATGTGTACATTAAATCGATTAAGAAAAGTCGGCTAGACTAGAATAAGACCTGATAGTACGTATGTAAGTATTTTATTCATATCTAAATGTTACTTTTATTTAAATTTTCATTTATATTCAAAGATAATAATATATGAATCAACATATTCTAGGATTTTATTATTCAATCACCCCTCAATTTTCACATGATATTCTTATCACATTTTACTCGGCCAACTAGTCGTTCTCTGAAAAACGTTGTAGTTTTATTTAAGGTTATACACACTAAGAAATCAAAGATATTATTCAATTTTTTTACATTATTTTTTTCAACTAACAAAACAAATGCTCAATTTCCAGTAGAGACGTAGGAAATTTAAGATTTGTGTTTTTTTAAGCGAGTCATGTTTTTTATTGAATAGGAAGCAATAATTTAAAAAATATTTTATTTAAGTAACTAAACATTGCTTCATAGTAAACTAGACAAAATTTATTTTAAATGGAAGTAGATTTTGTCATTGTTAAAACTATTTAAGGAGGACTATTGAGCTAACAAACACAGCAAAGTTCCGTTTAAAAAATAGTCATACATTATTTGTGTTTTTGTTTTTTTGTCATTATTTTACTGTACTACATTTACCCCACTTTTAGAAAAACTTTCTCGTTTAATAAGTTTTAATTCCATGTTAATTAAGTTGAAGTTTATTAAGAAACATTTTGATATTCACTTCAAGTTATGTAGAGAAATGATGTGTTTTCTATCCAGTCACCTTAAAGTATCCGTGTTTTCTTCAAAAAAGACCACAATTAATTGTTTCAAAGCTTTTATTTATTGTGTTTCCTTGATATGTGATGTATTGTAATAAACATAATTGCCTAAAAACACATTTTATTTATAAACATAAAAAATAATGAGTTTGTAAATATTTTTCATGTAAAGTGGTTATGAACTGAGTTTTTCTCCCAGATCTTCATAGGTGATTTTAAGTTACACTTAAAATAAAGACACCTTCTGATTGCTTCAATTATTTTCATAAAAACGTAATTGTTAAGGCTAAAAACATTAAGTTTGTCATTGACAAACTCTACTTTAAAGTAAATTTTGTCTAATTTAATATAGAGCAATGTTTAGTTTCTTAAATCAAATATTTTTTAAGTAATCACTTCCTATCCATGTTTACTATCAACCTTTTAAATCTTTATCTCTACTTGCGGTACACCCTGTAAAACTTTATTTAGGATTTTAAATAATCAGGATTTTCAGTATGGATTTGTATTATTTTGGTTGACGACGTTTTGACCTAAGCATTTGGGATGCTACCAGGGCTAAAAATTATAAATTATATCAAAAATATAAGTGTTCAGGAATCAACCTCTGAAACACAAAAAATAACAAATCAAAACAATTGTAGAATTTGGAACTTCATCACCATTTTATGGTCTCCATTTTGCTGCAAACCATTCATGTTGAGTTAATCTGTTCATTTGGTGGAAGTGTGCACACAGTAAGGTACTCTCTTAAGAAATGACAAGGAAAGAAAAGAGCTGCTAAATTGAAGAAAGGTAGTCGATTGTTCTACTTATCATGGGTGATAAATATTCAGGATGCAGTCTTTTTGAAAAACAAATTTTTTATTTTTTATATTTTATTTTTTAGCAGGGCTCTGTTTTGGTGTTTGAAGTATCTGGAGAGAGAGCAGAATGAATTGTAGGAGAAGATAATAGAGTGCGAGCGAGGGTGAGTACTTGAACACCCTCAGTGCTCAAACCACGCCCTGAAGATGACTAACATGTTTGGGTTGAAGCGGCATAAATAAAAAAATTTTCAAAAAGACTGCATCCTGAATATTTATCACCCATGATATGTAGAACAGTCGACTTAACTTCCTTCAATAATTCATCAAATCATTGGGACCTAACTACAACAAGAATACACTTCTTGCTGAAATCCACCACATCAGAGATATAAACTCTTTGAACGCTGACAACACCATCTCGCAACACACATCAAGAAAA